CCTCTGTGCCCTGTGACATTGTCATCCTGCCTAGGGAGGCAATGACCAATCAAAGAAGTGTGGTTTTCATATTTTTACCCACTCAAGAGAACTATGCAAACCTGCCAGTGGAAAGTAATGTGAAAATAAATAATGTAAAATAAAATATATTTCCAGAAGAGACCAAGCAAGAGTACAAAGGAAACACAATACCTTCCAAAACAAATGAAGAAACGAAAGAAGACTCAATAAAAACAGAGACCTTAGGTGACTTTCCTCTCAGTACAACGAATACGTCTGCACAATTTAAATTTAAGATGAACACACTGCAACACCACAAAACCAGCTCCGTGCCTGGAAGTCCTTTCCACACTGTACACCAAAATCATAATTTCACTATGTAGTTCATGATGTGTTTTGATTCTGAAAAACTTCAGATGCAAAAAATTCAACTATCTCATGCTCTCGATAAATTGGAGCATCTCAGGGCCAACAGGAGAAAGGGAAGAAAAAAATGAATCTGAGATGGTTCCAGTTAGGAAATTTAAGGTTCTTCCCCACATTGGCCATGGCACAGTAAGTTCTCAGGAAGGAGAAAGGCCAAGGACCTCACTGGTCACCCGGCCTTCCTTCTCCACTGTAGGCTAAGTTTGAGGGTCCCTAGTCCCCAGGAAACAAGAACCTTCTTTTCTCCCCTCTCCCAAATGCCCACAGAGCTCCCACGGCATCCAAACCTCAACTGTCTCTGTATGGCTCCCAAGCACGGCAGTGACATGTTGACTTAGAGGTACAGGTCAGAAGACCTTATCCTCTTGCCTGTTTCTTTTTTTCCTTTTGTGCTCTACATTCTGCCTCCCCCATTACTGGGAATTGAACCCCGTGGTGCTTTACCAGTGAGCTACATCCCTAGCCCTTTATTTTTTATCTTGATATAGAGTCTTGTTAAGTTGCTGAGGCTGGCCTCTAACTTGTGATCCTCCTTTCTCAGTCTACCAAATTGCTGGGATTACAGATGTGCACCACTATGTTCTATATTCTAAAAGGGATCTTAAGTCCTTTAGGCATCAAATGTCTAATTTATACCTGTTTAAGTTACACAGTACATAGCAAGAAGGACCTGTAATCAAATGGCTCCTTATGTTCCAAGATGGGAAAAAATGCTCCAAGAGAAGGCAGAAACCATGCTCCATTCAACTCTGTACATGCTCCATGTTCAGGAGAGCTGACACAGAGCCAAAGCTTTCATGGGAAAGAGGAGTTTCCCTAGGAAAAAGCTGGCCCAGCATCTCCCTGTAGTTCCCTCACTGAGTGGTAAACAGGTCACATTCTGAAACCAAGGCAAAAACTGAAAGCTACTGAATAGGGAGCTATCCTCGTGCTGTGTTCTCAGCCCACACACCAAAAGGCCCATGTGACTCTGGCAGGGTCCCTCCAGTGGGCAGAGGCGAGAATGAGGGGTGGGAAGCAATGACACATCACCATCAGGCCAACAAGTACCCAGTTCTTTCCCCTCTGCTAATCTCCACCCCAAGCATCTACACAGGCCAACAAAGAGGGGGCGAGAACTCTAGCAGAAGCCCAGTGTGCGTCACACAAGGGGACCTTTCAACACCCACCCTCACACACCGCCTGAGGATGAGGTCAGCCTCCTTCTGAGGCCACGGAACAAGCCGACTTTGTGGCCAGATGGCCAGCCCCATGCAAGGCTCTAAAGATGGAAACGGGTTGAGTTTTACCCACAGGGACCTCACCCCTTATGTACGAAGCTCAGCCAAACCACTTTAATAGGTGTATTTAGGGGTGAGGCAAAGAAGTGTCTACAAAAACCACTGGGAGGCATCAGGGCTGCCCCGTCCCTTCCTCTCTCCCTCCATCTGGTCTCTGACCCCAAACCACCTCACACACACCATGTGGAGCTCACCTCCTTAAATCTCTCCATTTCAGTGATGATGGCCTCCTGCTCAAGAATCTACACTGGCTTACATTTGTCACCGAATCACATTCAAACACTTCACCTTAGCACTGAAATTCTGCAAGGTTTGGTCATTTGACCTTCTGTTATTCTTGCTGGTCCCTCGATACATACCCTGGGCTTGTTCTTCCTCCTCTCAAGCTACACAGTCCAGAGCTAAGAACACATTCAGACCAACTTCTAAATCCCAAGTCTCCCACCCAACAGCTGGAGACCCGGCTCAAGGAGCTCAAACGACCAAGTGCTTCAGTTTCCTTATCTCTAGAACAGGAAGCATAACAGCAGCTACTGTTAAGGCCAGTTACTGGGGGTAAAGGAGAAGACAGAGGTAAAATGCTTGAAATAAAGCCTGGCACGTAGTATTACCCAATAAACACTAGCTATTAAAATACTTAAATGGATGGAGTTGGATAATATAATGCTAAGTGAAGTAAAAAAACCAAAGGCCAATGTTTTCTTTGATATGAGGATGGTGTCTCATAATGGCGATGTGGGGGGAGCATAGGAGGAATGGAGGAACTTTAGATAGGGCAAAGGGGAGGGAGGGGATGGGAGGGGGCAAGGGGGTAGGAATGATGGTGGAGTGAGTTAGACATTATTACTCTAAGTACATGTATGAAGACACGAATGGTGTGAACATACTTTGTGTACTATCAGTGACTTGAAAAATTCTACTCTATATGTGTACTGTGAAATGATTTGCATTCTGCCATTCTGCATTCTGTGTATAACAAATACTTACAAAATACTTATAGTCCATACAAGACACTTCCTTCATGAAGCCTTCCCAACAAAACTGGGCAATATCTTCTGCTCCTTGAGTGTTCTACCGACAGTCCGAAAGCACAGATAACTGGCTGGAGTTGTTAGGGATTGTTTTATAGAGAAAGGCATAATCATGTATTAAAATTATTATGAGGGGCTGGGGATGTGGCTGAAGTGGTAGTGTGCTCGCCTAGCATGCGTGAGGCACTAGGTTCGATTCTCAGCACCACATAAAAACAACAAAAAAAGATATTTTAAAAAAATAAATAAAGGTTCGTTGACAACTTAAAAAAAATTATTATGAAATTCATGTTCTAAAACACATACCTATAGCTCACAAATGACCTTTACCTTCCAGTAGCAATATTTCAACAAATTCACTCCTAAGAGATAGTACATGTATGTATAGTTACAGATTTTGTCGCTTGGATCCCAGGCTTGATTCCACCAGGACTGAAAACTTTTGAAGAGCAGGAATCATGCCACAGACATCTGGGACACTGAGTTCCCACCACGGGACCACAAGGGATCATCAAGCCACTGCTTATTGAATTTTAAAAGAACATTATGCTCCTGGAAAAACAGAAGTAGTAAATAGGAGATTAAGAGCTCAAATCTACCCTTGTGGTATACCAATTCTCCAACTTCTTGCATACAAGGTTAAACCCTGATGAAATAGGAGAGCAGGAAGTAAACACACCAACACAGAGCAAAACTGGCAGCGACCCATGAGGCGGCCTCAGGTCTTAGCCTCCCTGCCTCTAAACTTCCACTGTATTTCATCCAGCCTTTCTGGATGAAAGTTCTGCCTTGTTTTAGGCCATGGAAGACTCCCCATCTTCTCTTCCAAATGATAAGCTTCCTTCCTCGTTTGAATGCTCCCATTCCAGTGCCTCATTGAGTTGTAGGTTTAAAGCAATCAGAGTATCCAAACTTCACGGGTTTTGGCATTAGTTTCCACTACACCCAATGCCATACGACAATTAAGAGTGTCTCACCCAAGAAACAGCTTCAAAAAGATATCCTCTAACTAATGGATGAGAACATGCCAAATGCTTTTAAGAAAATGGTGTTTTGGGGTGGGGATGTAGCTCAGTGGTAGAATGCTTATCTAGCATGCAGGAGGTGCTGGGTTCCATTTGCAGCACCACAAAGAGGAAAAAAATAAAATAATGAAAGAAAGAAGATGGTTGTTTTGAAGTAATTGAGTTCATTTAGAACAGCTGCAGGAGTTGCTCCCCTGTGAGGCATCTTCACACGGAGCTGGCGCCATCAGAGCCTGCTCCAGGCCTCTCTCCACCTCCCCACTGGTCAGCGCCCAGAGAACACCGCGCTGAATGTGAGTTTCCACAGGAAAATGGGGTTTGGATGTCTAGTCTTTTCTCTCCCACTTCGCATGGGCTGAGAGTCGCCTTCTCTCTGGCGGCCTGTGCTCTGGCAGATGAATTCTGCCCTGTTCCCTGCTGACCGTGCCCAGCTGGGTACGACTCATGTAGGGGCTCAGTAGGAAGAAACCCACCTCACCGCGGATACAAGCCACACTGTATCACATCACTTTATAAGGAATGAAGGTGATGTTGGCATCTAATCTCTTTTACCAACTAGTTCAGAACCTAGCAGAGGAAGAAGGGTGTTATTGAGCTTCTTCGAGGATCCCACCACACTCCCCCAGAATCTGACTGATCCAGAGCCTACTGTGGGGTCACGGGGAAAATTCCAAGAAAAGGCCTGATGGTGCGCATCCATGAGCATCACATACCAGGCCTACTTCTGTACACACTGCACAAAAAAATGACTGGAATCTATCACTCACCCCTGGAGACACCAGCCAACAACTGATCTGCCCAGAAAGGTTAAAAATCATCCCAGAGCCCACTCCCTATTATCTGTGGACCTATCTAAGCTGTATCCTCCCTCCCATTAAGAACTGTTTATAGCAGCTGCTTCTTGAAATACTGGCAGTCATCCTTCTGACAAGGGAAAAGTACACAGGTCTACAAGAGAAGCCTGTATATTTCACCAGGAACAGATATAAACAAAGCAAAGACAAAACACTCAGTCTTCTGATATAAACATTCTCCACCATAAGCATCAGACTACTCCATCCCACTCCTAAAGACCAAGCTGTTAATGTTGGCCTGCTTGGCTGGGAAGGCTTCAGGAAGGTTCAGGAAGAACAACTGTACCCCAAACCACATGGGGATGAGATCCCGTCCTCTAAATCATGTTTTCCGAACGCCTGCAAACAGCAGCAGGATCAAGAGCTGAAGACAGGCAAACTTACGTGCTCCTTCATCTGCTTAGCCACGGTGGGTGACATCATCATGCAGCAGAGGAAGACGACCAGGATGAAGTACAGCGCGTACATGAAGCGGGTGGTCCGTGACTGACGCACCTTGGGGCAGCAGCCGCAGCAGAGGGAGCAGCCTGCAGGCCCACAGCAGCAGGCCAACTAGAAAAGAGCACAGACATCCTCTCAGAGCGTGATACTGTGACAGAATGAGAAATACATATTTGGTCTTCATCCCGGGTTCCTAGCCTAAGGGCTTCTAAAACCCCTTGGATTTCCAGAGTGCTGGAGGAGGCAAGTCTGTGCTAATGAGGTGACTCTTGGGAGCCCTGGGTATTTTAGGGTAGGGGCAGAAGAAATCTGCTCTGTGGCTTAGTGGACTGGAAAGTTCAGCTCCCTAACCCATGCCTGGGGAGGGGAAATGTAAATTGAGTCAAACACCAAAAGCTCCATGATTTAATCAGTCATACCTATAGAATGGCATCTCCATGAACACTCCAATCCATGGGATTCAGAGAAGCCAGGTTGGTGAACGCAGCCACGTGCTGGGAGGGTGGTGTGCCCCAATCCCATAGGCACAGATGCTCCTGTGCTTGGGCCTTTCTGGACTCACCCTTATGTACCCTTTTACCTGGCTGTTCCTTGTGTTCTTTATAATAAACCAGTAAACAAGAAAGAATTTCCTGAGTTCTGTGAGCTGTTCAAGGAAACCCAAGGTGGGCTAGTGGAAACCCCTATTATAGCCAGTCAGTCAGAATACAGAAAACCTAAATTTGCAATTGGTGTTGTGGGACTGAGCCCTTAATTTGAGGGGTCTGCACTAACCCTGGGTAGTAAGTGTCAGGGCTGAATTAAACTGGAGGACACTCAGTGTCATATATTGAGCCACCACTTTAAAAACATGTTCATCCCAGCCTTCTGCAGGTCAGCCTTTCAAGCTCCAAGATGACCATTCTTTCTGACGAATTTAGTGTGAATCAGAGCTTCCACCAGAACTGATCTGATATGTCTTTACTGAGAAGCATTAATGGCTTGGGAGATGGCCAGTAATAAACAGGAAGGCACAGTTGGAGAAAACAGAGTTGGGGGATCAGCTAAGAGCAAGAAAAGAGGTCAAGAACCAAAGAAAGGATAAAGTTTGGTAGAAAGAATATGAAAAGCAAGAGAGGGGCCCAAGAGCATGGTCTGCCTAAATCTAGAGTCTAAGAAAGAACTGTATGCGCACCTAGGGACCCACCAGGATGGGAAAGGCTATGCTTTCAGCCACCCACCTCTGCAGAACATAATGGGAATGTGCAACTTGAAGCTCAAGGGACCAACTGTATACACATGATGCATATGGTGGGCAGGGGGCTGTGGCTCAGTGGAAGAGTGCTTGCCTAGGATGCGTGAGGCACTGGGTTCAGTTCTCAGCACTGCATATAAATAAATAAAATAAAAGCCCATTAACGACTAAAAATTATTTGTAAATGTATTATGTGTATACGTGTACATATATATACACATTCCATATGTTACAATTCAATAAGATACTTCTGGGGCTGGGGTTGTGGCTCATTGGTAGAGCATTTGCCTCCCATGTGTAAGGCTCTGGGTTCAATCCTCAGCACCACATAAAAATAAATAAAAACAAAATAAAGGTATTGTGTCCATCTGTAAAATATATATATATATATATATATATATATATACATTAAAATAAAAAGATACTTTTTTTGTGTGTGTGATGCTGGGGATTGAACCCAGGGCCTTGTGCATGCGAGGCAAACACACTACCAACTGTGCTATAACTCCAGCCCAGAGACTTTCTTTAATAGCCCAAAAGTTATTTTTCAAAGCAAACTATGCCAACAACCAAGGGAACAAACACATTACCTTAAGCTAAACTCACCAGATAGAAATTCAAAACAACATCTGTGAAATAGATAATTAGTTTGGCATTCTAGGAAACTCTCACAGCCCTAACTTGCTTCTAGAAGAACACAACTATGGCCCCTACCACTTACAGCTTATTACCCTCAGCATGTCACTCACCCCAACTGATCTTCACCTTTAAAACTGGAAACATCAATTCCTAGCCAGGCTAACTCTAGGACTGTCACAAAGTTGGACAGAAGAGACAGCATCTTATTGTCCCAGGTTCCAGAGGGCATAAGCCTTTTGTAGAATAAGCCAAGTCTAAAAAAATAAGTAAATGTAGAACCTTGTGTAAACTATGGGCTTTGGGTGATGAAGACATGCCAGTGTAGGTTCACCAGATGCCATGAATACGTTCCTCTGCTGGGAGTGTTGATAGTGGATGAGATTGTACATGTGTAGGAGCAGGGTGAACACGAGAGATCTCTCTATCTTCTGCTTGATTTTGTTGTAAACCTAAAACTTCTCTAAAAAAATAAAGCCTTTTTTTTTTTTAAATGAGCCAAACAATGCCTGTCCATGGTGGCTCAACAAATGGATGATGACCAAATAATGTTCAGTAAAGCCATGACACTGACACTCCTCAAAGTGGCTGAGGATTCCATTTCCTGGGGCCCAAGGCACGAATGGTGCCCTGCACTCTGACTTTCTCACCAGCATCGAATCACAAACAGTATTGGATACTGCACTCTCCTTTCCCATGAGAAATTATTCTATACTCAAAAGGGAGTCAGACAATCTCTTTAAAGAGCTATGCTTAAAATCCTTCTAGAACATTTCCACAAGAGTACAGGGATTTAGACACAAACACTGCAAAAAGCCTTACTGTCCAGCTATACAGGGGCTGAGGTTAAATGAATTATGGGCTATCTTCAAAATGGAATGTTATTTAAAAGAGTAAATCGGAGTTGGGCACAGTGGCACATGCCTGTAATCACAGCTACTTGGGAGGCTGAAGCAGGAGGACAGCAAGCTCAAGGACAATCTGGACAACTTAGCAAGACTCTCCCTCAAAATAAAAAGGGCTGGGGGAATGTAGCTCAGAGGTAGAGCCCTGGGTTTAATCCCCAATAACACACACACACACACACACACACACACAGTATGTCCATATTATGGGCTGAATTATGTCCCCTCAAAATTCTTACGTTGAGGTATAAAATAGGAAATAGGGTCTTTCAAGGGGGTAATTAAGGTTAAATAATCTCATTGGGGTGGTCCCTAATCCTATGTGAAGTGAGAGATTAAATTTCTGCTGTTTAAGCCACATGGATGGTGACATTTTGTTAGGACAGCCCCAGCCAATTGCATGTGGAGCGCATGTGGAGACACAAGACCACTTGCTAAGGCAAATTACCTGTAGAGTGAGCCTAGATGTGTGGAGGGAAAGGAGACACCTACTTATCACTGCTCTGTTCTCCTGTTTTGAGTATTTATCACATGCACATATTACTCTTAAAATTAAAAAATAAAAATAAAAAAGAAATCTAACTACTTGAGGAAAACAACAAAGTTTAAAGATTTTGCTACAAAAGCATTTGCAAATGTTGTATGGACTTATGTGATTTTCTCTCTTTCTAAAGAACCATCCCCTCCCCCAAACATTAAAAAGAAAAATCTTGCAATCAAAGAGCCCTTTCCCACTCTCACTTCTGCTGTTCATTAGATGTAGCAACAGCATGAACAGAAAGGCTTTCATAAATAAAAGGTGCTTTGTCTTTGCCTGGGCAAAGGGTCAAAATGAGAAGATAAGCTGGGAGCTCACTACCTGAGGCCGGGCCTCTCCCTCACAGCTTTTCTCCTTCTCCTAGGAACAGCCCCCACAGCACACACACACATTCCATGAAAACCGTCCGTCTCCCTCCCTGGCCTCTCCACTGACCTTGGCACAGATCCTTCTTCCAAGGTCTGAGGGAGGCCTGTGCAGAACTGCTCACAGAACAACGAGCCAAGGTTAGTACTGACTTCAGGTACTTCTGTTAAGTTAAAAAGCACAATACCCTCCTTACCTAGAATTCCCAGATGGCAACACCCCCAACTAGAAATAGCAAAGAATCAGGAAGAAAGCCAAACGGATGCACAGAATAAGCACGAACACGTGCACAACTTGTATCTTACTCATAAGAGCCCTTCTCTCCCCTCTCAAGTGTAGGAATCACAGTTCCAATGGCCTAATTACCAGGGTTCTGAAGCCCACAGCACATAAGAGCACCATCTGAGAACCAGAACTCTCCTCCAGGTGGCTCTGGGTCCTGGCTTTCCTCACCTGAAATTGGAAGGAGCCCAGGTAGACAGTGGACGGTAGGTGAGCGGATTTCATCTGACATCCTCCTGACGCCAGTGGCTGCCTGGAACTCTATGATAAAGAGGATTCTAAGTCTGAACACCTCAAAAGGGAACATGCGATGACCAATGAGTGCTACTCCCAGAAGCATGGGTAGAGTGATGGCATCTGTGCCACATTCTCATCTCTCTGCAAGAGGTAACAGGATATCCCTGTCAGCCGTAAAGTTTTAGATGCTGAAAACCATGGTGGTTGGAAAGCAGGCTGAGTCAACCCCAAAGCCCGAGAGAAAATGGATCAAGGGAAAAGCACCAAGAGCTCCCAAGCAGAGAACATGAAAGCTTTCAGACATCCCCAGGTGCTGCATGGTACCCTGTCACACACAGTGGTGCAGTGACTCACATTCATGATAATGGCCCAGGCAACAGGGTCCCTTCCACTCCACTTAAGAAAGCAAACGATGCATCTGTCACAAGAAGAATGATCCCAAACATGAACCATTTTTTTATTTAGTTTTAGTGCTTGGGTTTATGAGAGGATAAAGCCCTCAGCAATGTGAGAGACACCTATTCTGAAAGACATACTCTTTTTTTTTTTTTTTCAATTTGTTCTAATTAGTTATACATGACAATAGAATGCATTTTGACACACCAGACATAAATGGAGTATAACTTCTCATTCTTCTGGTTGTACATGATGTAGGATTACATGGGTCGTGTGATCATATATGCACATAGGGTAATGATGTCCAATTCATTCTACTATCATTCCTACACCCATCCCCCCACTCCTTTTACTCCCCTCTGCCTAATCCAAAGTACCTCTATTCTTACCTAGCCCCCCCACCCTTATCACGATAATGTTTTCTCTGATATGCAAATTAGCATTTGCATATCAGAGAAAACATTTGGCCTTTGGTTCTTTGAAATAGGCTTATTTCTCTTAGCATGATATTCTCCAG